CTCGTCCTTTTTCTAGGGCCAGGCACAAACTGGACGGAACCTGGATGCACACAAGCTTGCACTCATTTCCTCTCCGTAAAGAAATCCCCTCAGAGAGAAATTTAGACCTGGGCAGCATCTAACAGTCCAGCGGCTTACGTGCAGGATGGGGTAGGGCCTGGCTTAGGTTGAGTCGCACCGGGGGAGTACGCTCTTACCCGTCATTGACTCTCCTACCCAGCTATGTCATAATTTTTTAGAGGAGGAGTGTGGGAAGCTCACCGCCCCTAGACTCGGTCGTAGGCTAGGCGAGCGAGCCATGCATATGCCTGAGGATCTTTTTGTCCATTTTGGGCTACCGCTATTTCTATTCATCTTGTTGGTTGGTCTGTGATGGATCTCCGGTAGGGCAGGTTTGATCTTCAGTCGAGGGCTTTGTTGCCCGTGTCAGTCTCTCCGGTACCCACAGTGGTTCTCGTCCCGGTGCCTGTGGGAAAACACAAACCGCGCCTCGGTTCCAGCTGATTACCGGATCCGGGCCCATCCATTGTCCTGTTAGGACATCTTTCCATTTCACCCATCCCTTATTGCTAGGGGATGGACTAGAATGCTCCATAGCTGGTGAGCGGTTATTATTGTTTAAATTTAAAAAATTGTATGTGAACAGTGCCATAGATAACCGTGCCTTTGGAGGCAGGCCTTGGCTTACTCCCCCTTTTTGTTTATATAAAACTTCTTTGAGGCTTTTGTGAGCTCTCTCAATAATTCCTTGACCTTGAGGATTGTATGGGATACCATGTTTTAATTGTCTGCCATTGATCTTAAGCAAAAGCATGGGCCTCTTGTCAAGAGTCATGTGGAGTACTGGAACCTCTTATGGAGGCTGGGGAGCAGCAGGAGCTGTGCTATCCTGTCCTCGGCCACAAATACGATTTCCTTGAGCATCATAAACTGACCTGCAATCCTCTGCCTTATGTGGACCCTTTCTGCATCGCCCACAGACGTTATACGATCCTTCATTTTTAAGGCGAGGCTTGGCGTCTGCACTATTTGGGCAGTTGCGTTTAATGTGTCCTGGGTCCCCGCAGCTGAAGCACCCCTTGGCTTTATGTTCCTCTCTAGGCCCGCGAGGTCCCCTTTGTTGCACTGCCGCAGCCAGAAGAGCTGCAACTCCCGAATTAGAAAGCGGCCCCCCTATTTCTCTGCATATTCTGATCCAGGCGTTAAGATCCTTATTCTTATGTGGGGCTATTGCTGCCTTACATTCCTTTGTGCATTGTTCGAAAATCAACTGCCTAACCAGCGGTTGAGCCACTTCCCTATCGGAAAAGATCTTATCGGCGGCATCTTGCATCCGAGCCACAAAATCAACGAATGGCTCTGTTGTGCCCTGGACTATTTTAGAAAGGCACAAGGATGCCGTTCCGGCACCACTCACCTGCTTCCAGGCGCGAAGCCCAATGGTATTGATCTGCTCATAAACTGCACCAGGGAACTGAGTCTGATTATCAGCGTGTTGGCCTTCCCCCATAAGCATGTCTCTATTCCACCCCCGGTTCCCTCGGTTAGCGTTTCTTTCCGCCTGTTCGGCAGCGAACTCGGCGTACCAGGCTCGCCAATCCAGGTAACTACCCGAGGGCAGACACGCCTTTGCCAGCTGAGTCCAGTCCGCGGGGGTGAGGGGCCCAGAAGACAGGTTCTCCAGCATGGCAATGGTGTAAGGCGCAGTCGGCCCAAAGGTTGTAACTGCATTTTTAAGTTCTCTAATCTGCTTTATTTCAAAGGGTTCCCACACATTACGTCCCTGACCCATGGCCATCTGTACAGGATATATCCCATAGGGGCCGCTATCTATCCCTGGGAACGGGTGGTCTTCATTAGACACACGACCCCCATGCCACAGCTGTCTGTGGAAATAACGTCCCGCCGGTGGCGGAGCATCGTAAGATGGCGGCCGTGGCTGAACAGAAAATGGCGGCCTGTGCGTTATTTCCTGTACTGACGGAAGAGGGGGGAGTTCCCATGCGGCGGCATCGCGGCGAGGGACCGCTTCCGGGAACGAGTTCCAGGGCGGAGCAGAAGGTTCTGTCTCCCTCCCCTGCCAGGGGGCTCTCAGAAGCTCTCTGCTTTTTCGTAAGCCTAGCTGAGCGGAGCGCAATTCGTGGCGCAACGCAGCGAAAGAGCCTTGCGTCTCCCCATCAAGCGACTTAGGCCCCTGACAGCTGGTCTCTTTGGCCTCCTCACCATTCAACCTTCCCTCGTCCTCGGAGTTGGACGACTCCGAGGCTTGAGCCCCGTCCTCCTCCTTAGCATCTTTGTTCCCCTTGACGGACCCCTCTCGGGAGCTCCCTGACTGGGCCTGCTCAAATACCCTGCGTACTTTTGTAAGCTCTTGAGAGCTTTCCCCGCAACCACCCTCACTCTTAGTGCCGCTACCTAGCATGTTTCCCATTTTTTAATATGTTACTCACCGCGTGAGGCCCAAGGAATCCGCCACTTACGCGTGAGCCTGAGAGGAGTCTACAAACCCTGTAGGTGCGCGCCACCCAGGGCCCAGGTTTATCCTCTACTCACCTGTCTTGCAGCTCTGCGTTGGAGCGTTGTCCACTGCCACGTCTCGGGGGTGATCAGCTCCCCGTACGGGCCACCAGATGTCGGTGTCACTCCCGGCCGGCAGGAAGGACACACAACAAAGTCTGGCAGTGGACAACCTTTTCTTTTATTTTCCTTCTCCGTACAGCCTGCCCCGGGAATCCTCCCGGCCGAAGCCTCTGTTGGTCCGCTCCCCGCGGCTCCTTGCGTGCTTCTCCCTACAGTCTGTCCCGAAGCCTCTACCGGTCCGCTCTCCACGGCTCCTTGCGTGCTTCTCCCTACAGTCTGTCCCGAAGCCTCTACCGGTCCGCTCTCCGCGGCTCCTTGCGTGCTTCTTCTGCTTCTTCTTTCGTGGCGGGAGAGGCACTCACTTTTATAGGGTTACAGTGGCCAATCAGTTCAAAGCGCGCGATGCGGGCTGATTGGCTAACATCAGTTGTTGCTAGGCAGACTATCTTACAGGGCGGGTTGTGAAGCAGGAGATCTTACAGGGCGGGTTGTTTACCAAGCAGGAAGCAGGAGATCTTACAGGGCAGGTTGTTTACCAAGCAGGAAGCAGGAGATCTTACAGGGCAGGTTGTTTACCAAGCAGGAAGCAGGAGATAAGCGCCATCTTAGCACACTTGATGGGAGGGGTAATCTAGCTCAGGCTTTGCTCTTTCCTACAGGCCTCATGTCCGCCAAGTAAGGCGACCGGGCTCGGGGCTGCGGCTCCCAACATCTGTTCAGGGCTCCCTATGTTGTATTATGTTGCGTTCTAAGTTGACTCTCAGGGAGTCTCTGTAGCCGGCTGTTATCTATCCGCAATCTTTGCTCCGCCCACTCTGAACTTCTGTTCTTTAAAAAAAGCCACTGTTCTTAGTCAGTTAGGCATTTAATTTAAAATTAAGTCCATTTTCAGGAGTTCTTGGTGCATGGGTTTGTTTTTGAAAATGAATTCTTATGTGATTAATGTTTGATTAAATGGCCAAGGAGGGCAAGTTTTGCTTTTGCAATGTCAAGTGAAGATAAATCATGTAAAAATTGACCAAAATTCAAAGATAAATTGAAGATTCCCTTAATTTTTGTAATATTAGCAAAGAGTAATTTGAGTTTAAAAAAAGAAACCAACTATTTCAATATATTCAAGGAAGTCATGACTTAAATTCTGATGTAGTTGCTATGGTTTAAACATGACTCCCAAAAGTTCATGTATAACCCTTAAGTTCCTTTGATAGTATTTGGAGGTGAGGTCAGATGAAGTCAGAAGGGTGAGGCCTCACAGTGGGGTTAGTGGCTTTATAAGAAGAAGAGGGAGAGACTTGGTTTGTACTGTCCCCCATTGTCACTATCTCTCCTGCCATGTGATACAGCAAAAGGACTGTTACCAGATGTAGTTCTTTGATCTAGACTCCTCAGCCTCCAGAACTTTGGGAAATTAATTTCCTTTCTTTATAAACTTCCCAGTGTCAGATATTCTATTCATATTAACACAAAATGGACCAAGACAATAGTCCTACAGGCATAGTGAATGGCTGTTTTCCATGGAACCTGAAATGGAAATAAAGAATATGTAGCCAGAGGAGCAGATGTAGATCATGATTCACAGAGCAATTCCGGCTACCACATGTGACAGTGTGCATATGAGCCCTGTGTGGCTCTCCCCAAGCCTTGGGTACAAATGCAGCACTATTAACACTGATGCCCAGACCACCACAGCTCCTGATCTCAACTTTATCTCCTATCTGGACTCTCCCTTTTTATTCAAAGGATCTCCAAAGTGGTGTTTACTTGTACTCAGAACCTTATTTGCACAACTTTTCCCCACTATTGCCTTTTCCTAAACTCCTTTGGCTACCTAAAGAATGCCTCTTGGCATAGTGTTAGTGCTATACTATGATCCTTTGGTTTGCTGTGGGATTGGGGGGCTTCTCCTTCATGCCCTTCAGGTTTATGATTCAATCTTCTCTTCATCCTGAGCTAAAACCAAAGCCTTAGACTGTGCAGGGAACAAACTCTATCTCATTCATTTGTCCCCTTTAGGTCCACTTTCCCTGTCACCTTATAATAGGAAAGATTTTCCTTCATTAAAAGTAGGTGCTCTTTGAAAGGGTTTTGGCCCAGGCAGGATTCTGTAGCCAGGAAAGCCTCAACCAGAACCAGGAAGCTCCTATCTCCCCCACCCCTAGGAATTTACCTGTGACGCCATCTTCTCACCCCTGGGAATTTACCTATGGCACCAAACCTAGGACCAATGGGCTACTGTGCATCCCTAATGCCCCCCTTAGGTTCCACCCCAAACCGAGGCTACTTACATGCCTCACTTCACGTGTTCCAAGGAGAGATTGACAACCCCGGGGTGGAGATGCCATGCCCTGGGGGGTTGGGGTGTCTCTCCCCACATTCTCAAAATAAAGGTTATTTATATTTCATACTTCTTATCTTTTCAGTCACTGCCAGTCCTCCCCCACAGTTCTATCATATGGTTCCCTGACCAGGAACAGCAGACGAGAGACTCCTGGGGCTGGTTCTCAGTTTTGGGTCCCCTGCTGTTCAGGACCAGGACCGGACTGCATCCTGCATTAATTCCTCACTTCTACACTCAGGAGCTGTAAGTTTGTCACTACCAGTTCACAAACAACACCAACCAAATTTACCACAGGTGAGCAACTCCTGGAGATAGCCACTGGGGCAGGCCCAGGTGGATTTTCTCCCCGCTTTGCATGGGTTCGTGATGCTCTCATGTCCTTTGGACAGCCCAAGGCTGGGTCTTTCTGGGCAAACCTGTGTCCACTCTGGACCGCCCACACTGAGAGACCCTCACGTTCTTTAGAGCTTTTTAAGTTCTCATGGCAGAGTTGTTACTTTACCCACATAAAGTCCACTCATAATATTGGTGATGGCCAATTATTAGGAGTCTTGGAGCCAATATAACCTGTCGGTCTGAGGTGCAAAGTGACGACTTTAAGCTTGGCAGACCACAGCCCATTGCCTCATCTGATTGTAACCCTGTGAGCTAAACCCCACACCCAGTTTTATCTCGGTGACCACTTCCTGTCCCCCTCCCCAGAAACCATACCTATCTATGGCTTATCATACTGCCCACAAGCTTACAAAACTCTCTTATCTTTGTTTTGGGAATGTGTGTCCTTTCCGGCTCCTCCAGGATCCCTCCTCCTCCCCACATTTAAAGAGATAACAGCGTCTTCCCTTGCAGCCTTTTGGGAGCTTTCTCAGTGTCTCCTTTCCTCCCTGCTTCCCCTCCCCCCCGCCATGCTGCCAGCGTCCCTTTGTTTCCTGTGTGTGCCAACCCATTCCCTGCCGTGCAGACCCATTCTATGCTGGCCCATTCTCCACCGGGGTAGAGGGCGAGCCCAGACAGTGTTGAGACATATGCATGGGACTGTTTTAAGCTGCTTTTTAAGCAGCTTTGGGCTCCTGTGTGCCACCTCCCAACTTCGCATGGTGTTTTGGCTCTCGTGCCACAATTCAGGTCCAAGCACATGTTTGGCTTTAATGCCGCACCCTAATCCATGTGCCCCACAAGCAGTTCAGGCTACACGTGGTGACTCAGCTCCACATCGGTCTGGCTGATGGCCATGTGCCTCTAAGAGCAACCCCGGCCTTGGGCTGCCTCCCAGCCCCACTGCTGCTATGAGCCAGCCCCTGCGCCGTGAGCCCACCATCGTGGCCACCATGAGCCTGCCCGCCGTTGCGGCCAGCACTGCCCCCGCCACCGTTGCCTCCACCTTGCTTGTTTCTGGGCGCCATCCCAGCCCCTCCCCTGTGCACCATTGTTGCCACCACCTTACACTTTCCTGGGGGAGTCTAGCCCGCCGCTGCGCACTGCGTCCCAGTGCTCACCCTGCCCACTCTGCATGTTCCACCTACTCGCTGCATGCCAGAGAGATCTCAGCCCCCACCCCCAAACGCGGGTGCGGCTCTCTACAAGCACCCTCTGTCTGTCTCAGAGTTCCATCTCCCAGGCAGGCGCCTTTCCCAGGCAGGCCTCTGCCAAACACAAGTGCCGCTTTAAACACAGGCACAGATAGGCAGCAGATCGGCAGCTCCGCTCAAGGCATGCTTTTTTTTACAATTCAGCTCCGCTCAAGAGAGGCTATTTTTTTTATTACAATTCTCAAACCATTTAATCAAGGTTACTGGCCACCTGATAATTTTACCAGCCTTGTTTATCAATCAAAGCCTTGACTAATCTCCTATTTTAACAACTAAAATTAAGAGATATTTATCAATTTCTTTTGCTGTAGACCACCAGTAATGTTATATGTTAAACTTATTGCCTGTATTATACTGTGTTGTCACCGATCTCCTGTTTAACAACTAAGGTTATAAATTCCTTTTTGCTGCAAACCACTAGCTCTGTTCCAAGACAAGGGTTTTGTTGAAAGTTTTACTGTTGTCTGAAAACCAAAAAAAAAAAAAAAGGTAATTGGTAAGATAAAAAGTTGTAGAAAAGCTTGAAAAGAAAGAAGATAGGAAAGAAAGCTCAACTTGAGGGTATATATAGAAAGTTGTAGAAGGCTTGAGAGGATGTAAGTTATAGAAGAAAACTTGAGGGTATATAAAAAGTTGTAAAAGGCTCGAGAGGAAGCTCAAGAGATGTAAATTTTACTTGAGGGTATACAGAAAGTTGTAGAAGGCTTGAGAGGATGTAGGACTTGAGGATATATAGTAAGTTGTAAAAGGCTCAAGAGAAAGATAAAAGTTGTAAAAAGCTCAAGAAGATGTAAACTTTATTTGTCTTGGTTCATACTACTGCAAATAACAACTTTAAAAACTAAATGTGTTCAAAACTTGACAGTATTAGATCAATTTTGATAGATTTATTCATAAGATTGGTAAACCTTTACTGCAAAATGTTTCCATTAAGATTTTACTTCAAAAGACAAAAGGCAGACTAAAGCCTTTTTTGGGCAGACTAAAGCCTTTTTGTTAAATATGTAATTCCACGCAACACCCTAAAAGCGATATGCCATCCAGATAAAGCCTGCTCTCTAATCTAAAATGCCAATATTAAACTCCTACATACTTATTTAATTCTACAGATACCTTTTACTGTAGTCTAAATCCCAAATTAAAAGGCAAAACTTGACCTTCAAACCTTAGAGAGATCTTGATATGGTTTTTCATATTTTAAAACTTATAACACTTGCAGTTCTGAGACAGGTAAACCTACACAAGGTAGAGCTGCCTGGGCTCCCCCTGCCCCATGGACCACACTCAAATGCAGCAGAGGGCATTGGACCAAGAGAGTGCCCCATCCTGGCATTCTTTGAGACCTTACTCCAGAGCTACTGAACTGTCCTAGCCACCAGAGAGTGGGTAAGCCATCCTAACTTGTAGCCCTCACAGGAAATGTCGACACTGCCAGATTCATCACTGACAGAAAATTGCTGCCGAAGACTGAGAGAGCTCAGGGCCAGCAGCCCCCTTTGTGGGTGTCCGTCTCAGAGTTCAAGTTCCACTAAAACTCCCAGGTAAGACATTTTCTATATTTGTGGACATAGAGGCCATATATACAGAGTTCTTCCTGAGTTTTCAGGCTGCTATATTAAGTCCTCAATCTCTATGATGGGTTATTGATGTCAACCTATGCCATTTATAAACAGGGCTTATTTCGTGCAGGTCCCAGTCCTAAATCTTAAAATGCTTTCACTCCCTTGTTTTTATGCAGGCTCACTTAGACACACTGAGTCCTCAGCAGCTTCCACCTGTTTTCACTGGTGGACCTCTCCTCAGTGATATAAGACCACCCCCTTCCTTTCTTATTCACCAATTTCTCAGGTAACCCTGGTCAAGACTGACAGATACATTTTGTCTTCTCACTTTGTTTATACTTTTTCAGGACACATAAAAGCCTTTCCCACAACCAGGTAAACTGCTGATACAACCGGATTACAGCGACCCATGCCTAAATCAAAGCTGCTAGGCTGCCATCTGGTTTCATATCACTCAGGCTAAGAGGTGCCCTTCCAGCCCTAAATCTGATCACTCTGAGTGGTCATCTCATCTTCTGTCACCCACCTGTCTCCATTTCATGAAGGCCTTGCAGCCACAGTTAACAGGCTAAGTCATGTTTTGTTATCCACTTTGGTTCCTAATTTCTTACGTTCTATTAATGATCATTTTTGCAGCAGGACTCTTGACAGTCTTTCCCAAAGACTCCCACATCATGCGTAAGATAATCTTCATAATGTTCTATGTGATGACTGTCGTAGTTCTTTCTACCTCAGCTGTCTGGTTAAACGTGACATCCCTAAAAGCCTAAGCCCTTACTTTCCCTATACTGGTAGAGCCACCACCTTCCTACTCCCCTTATTTTTTCCAGTTCAACTCTTAAACCAGAGACAAGTTTTACACACCTACCCTCTTAAGTTTTATGCTTTCAGATGGGGGAGTAATCACCTCTCATAACAACATTTCTCCTAACCTCACACTTAATTTTCAGAATTCTGCCTTACCGTGGAACATGTCTAAATCAAAGGCACCTTTCCCTCTACCTCACCTGGGTCTTAAATATGACAGTGCCATGTCTCCTCATAACATCTTGTCTCTTTGTTTTTCCAGTCTAACATACATACATTCACCAGTGAAGTTGTCCTGGCTAAAACACCTGGCACCAGCTTCTATCTGGGCATTAACCATCATCCTGTCAACTCCCCTAGACCCCAGTACAGTGCCCTCAGCCAGTAGTAAGTAGTTAAAGAGAGAAATCTTTGCCCCTTTTCATAATAATAATCATAAGATGGGATATGAAAGAGTTTTGGCCCAGGCCGGACTCTGTAGTCAGGAAAGCCTCAACCGGAAGCAGGAAGCCCCTCTCTCCCCCGCCCCTAGGAATTTACCTGTGACACCATCTTCCCGCCCCTGGGAATTTACCTATGGCACCAAACCTAGGACCAATGGGCTACCTGTGTATCCCTAATGCCTCCCTTAGGTTCCACCCCAAACCGAGGCTACTTATGTGCCTCACTCCATGTGTTCCACGGAGATCGCTGACCCCGGGGTGGAGATGCCATGCCCCAGGGGATTGGGGTGTCTCTCCCTGCATTCTCAAAATAAAGGTCATTTATATTTCATACTTCTTATCTTTTCAGCCGCCACCGGTCCTTCCCCACAGTTCTGTCACTCTTTATGATGATCATTCAGAGTGATTTCTCCAAAGGTCACTAGGTCACCAAGTCTGTAAATTACAATCTACTTTGACCCAGGACATTGTGTGCAGATGCAGTTTTACATGAAAAATTGGAAATGTAAGTCAATAGAGAAATATACAAATCAGTGCAATGGTGAGTTTTAAAGTCAAGCTTAAAGTTCAAATGGAATTCACCCAGAAGCAGTAAAAATTTTTTAATTGAACTTTGAGATTTTATGCTGGCCTTGATAAATAAGGTTCTTTTTTGTTTAACCTTTACTCATCTGTACTACCATTGAACACTGTAAAAAAGACTGAAAGACCGCAGAAACTTAAAAGTAGAATATTCAACATTTTAGCCCTCCAGGAGTAACCCTGAGAAAATTAAAACTATCTATCTCCCCCTCACATGTGCTTGCAGGGTCTCTGTTTACTTAGTAACACCTGATTTTTAAGCAGATATGTTGTGTGGTGTCTTATACAGGTATAATTTTATTAACTAGTCCTCCATATGTGGACATTTAGGTTATGAAATATTATATTGAGAAACAGCAAGGTTAAGTCATAAATAACTGAATGCTTACTAATGTTACATTGCACTTTTGAACAAAGTCAGATCTGAATACTTTCTGTTCTCATGACTCTTAATCAATAGAAATGCAGGAAAGCATCATTAAGAAGGATCCTGCTTTGTAGAGGACCACCTGAATGACTCTTGAAAGAAAAGTAATTGTCTCCATTTTAGCCAAACCTGGCCCTATTTCCATGTATTGATATGTACAGAGCTGGTTAAATTTTGTCTTTATCCCCTCAATTGGCTTTAATCAATGCAAATGGGTCTAGTCAGATGCTGATATGTAGTTGTTAAAACAGTGCAAAGGTCAGTGCAGCTTGTAGCTCTCAAGTAATTGTGTGAGCAAGGCTGAGTGATCCCATGCTGTTGGCAGAGAATGAGCCTCAAGAAAAGCCATGACTTCTCAGGACTTGCAATTATACATCAAAACTGAAGCACTGGCCCCAACACTACTGTCCCAATTTGTGACATGTAGATTACACCTTCTGCATATCTTTTTCTCTGCATATTGCAGAGGTGAATTCTGGCCTTCCTCCCTGGCCCAGCTCACAGCACTTATGTACTTCATGCTGCTCTCGGGTCACTCACCCCTGAGCCACTCCCTTCCTCACGAATCCCGTTTTGGCCCTAGGTCAAGACCTTTGTACCAATTAGTCATTATTCTGTCTGGCTCTAAGACTCCCTTGGCTCCCCCAGCATCTTGGATATGTATTTGTGTCATGGGTTGCACTGGAAGTGGTAGATTGGAATTAAGTTGCTAGAATATCAATAACTTTTCCTTGGGATTACAAATGAAAGCTTCACCAACCGTGATGAGGTCTGGGAAGGGCTTTCTATAGTGTTCATTCCTGTTCTTCCCAGGTTCATTGTGTGCTTTAATTCTGTTCCATGTGTCTCTCATTCTTTTCTTGGGAACCAGTTGCCAGCAATAAGTAGCAGAGCATCAGAGGCTGTACTCAAGACTTTGAGCACAATTCTGGGTCACATCTCCTAATGTTCTTTCCATCAAAGAAAATATCATGAGAAACTCAAAGTCCATGGATGCGTAATACACTCCCTAATTCATGAAAAGTATTATAAAATGTAAAAGGATGAGAGAGAGAGAGAGAGAGAGAGAGAGAGAGAGGAAGAAGAGGAGGAGAAAGGGGAGGAAGGGGAGGAGGAAATTCATTTCACCATCCCCTTTTTCAACTCTCACTGCAACCCCACCCCACGCCACCTGGGGAAAGGTGTTTCTCTCTTCCCTGAACTCAGCCAGCTCCTTCCCTCTCTGAGGCTGTTTGCACTATATTACACTCTGCTATCAATGTACTGGTAGCTTTAGCACTTCAATTTTCCTTTCCAGAGGACTCCAGTGACATGATAGCTGTTCTTTACCTTTAATTTTTTTCAGTCCTTTATTTTATTTTATTTTTAATGATCTAAACCCTTAGAGCATCCACTGACTTAAGGATAGATCTGAAAGCCTTCAGATTCACCTTCAAATCAATAAAAAACTTTTATTTTCCTTCAGTACTGTGAAACCTGCCAAAAGATAAAAAACTAATTAATTTGCTTTGCATTTGCTCAATAGAAATAATGGGCAGGAGGCAACAAATGAGAAATAAATTTAATAGAACTTTGAAAATTGGGAATTAAGATGAATTGGATTCGGTGCATATCTGAATTTAACAGCTTTTATTTTCTAAGGCTTTTAAGCTAATTTTATTTTTCTTTTGTTATATCATGACATGCAGGGCAGTCAGTGGACTGTGAATTTGCCTAATGTACTACAGACATCATGTGGAGTAGCCCCTAACTCTGCAAAGAGGAAAAGGGCAAACATAAATGCAGGCTTTGGGGTGCTAGATCCAGGAGACCCTCTGCTCTCAGGTTCATGGGTGAGGGTAACTGGTTGGGGGAGTGGGACTCAAGTCATTGTACTTTTTGCTTATGAGAGAAGGGAAGGAGAAAGGGACTGGGGCTTTGGGAAGAAGTTCTGCTGCTTCCTTCTTCCACAGGGGTAGGGGAAGATTCAGGAACCACTTTTCTGGTGGGATAGGAGGAGAGAGAGGCTTGCCAACCATGCCCCGTGGACCCAAAATAATAGGGCAGGGCTGTCTGCACAGCTCAGGAGCACATCATGGTTGTCATCATGATGAACATTATGGCGGCGGTTAGCAGGTCAGAGTCAGTAGTAAATGCTTCACCACTTGAGCTCATGTAGCTCTCACAGGAACCCTGGCAGTAAGGACTGTCATCATTTTCAAGTTAAAAATGAGTTCATGGAGAAGTAGACAGCTGTTGAAGGAGTCACCCAGGAAGTGAGACATTTGAGCTTAAGTGCGTCTGACAGTGGTCCTTGTGTGCTTAACCATTAAGCTCCACTGCCTACAGCAGAGGGATGAAGAATCCTGGCGAGAGGCACTAAATCCTGAAAGACTTGGGATGATTTTGGAGTACAGAGCTCAGTGGTAAAATGTAAGTTCCCCCATAAGTAACCAAGATTTAAAGGTGTAAAAAGAAGCCAAGAAAAATCCTGGCTTTCTGTTTGAACAGAAGAAAAAGCTGCCTTTTCATTAGTTGTTGTAACTACTGCTTTGTTACTGGAGATTGAACCATGGGCCTTCTCAGTGAGCAATATCTCCATCTATTTTTATTTTTTATATTTTATTTTGATTCAGTGTCTCATCAAGTTGCTAAATTGGCCAGGTTGCTCTTGAACTTGCAATTCTTCTGTTATACACTAACAAAAAGAGCTTCGTTATGTTTGTGTTATGTTTGCCAATGTCCAAGTTATATGACCAAATTACCTGTAGCACTGTCACACTGTTCTGTATGAGCCATCTTCCTGGGTGACCTAATTGATATGTTAACCATTGCTCCCCTCTGCAAAGGACTGTAAATTCCTGGGAATCTGAACTAATTGATATGTTAATCATTGCTGCCCTCTGCAAAGGACAGATGTTATCTAAAATTGAGTGCTAAAATTAGTTGACAGACGATTGTAAATTCCTGATAGACCTCTCTGTCCTCTGCAAAGGGAAACACAGGTCTTCCTCATTCCTTAGCGGGTCAAGGACTTCCTTATTTCCTGATCTACGCCCATAAGCCATTCACTTTGTAATTGCTCTTTCTTAAAAAAGTCTGTGAAAGTTTTGAGCCAGTTACACAGCTTTGTGAACTCCAACTGCCCTGTGTCCCTGGTATCAGGTAAAATAAATCAGCGATGCTTTTTTTAAAAAAACATGTCTTGCCCTATTTTTGGACACCATTGGGGGGGGGGGCTCGTTTTGGACCACAAGAACTTCTATTTCAATTTCTCAGAGTGTTGGGGTTATAGTAGGTGTGCCATTGTGTCCAGATATAATAGCTTATTTGCAAAAAAAAAAAGATTAACATCAACAATAAAACAAAAAATTATAAAACTTAAAAATTCTTAATTTTTAACTTCAAAAATAAAGATGAAGAACAAGTTTCTTTTTGAGAAATGTATGTATTTTAAAAACTAAGACCTTTTTTCTGTTTTGCTTTTTTTTAAATTAAAAAAAAACTAAGTCTGTCTGAAGTTATCTTGTACTTTGTTTTTAAGGGGAAATTAGAATACTTCATATGCATTTGATATTTATTTTCCAAATTAATGTTGAACTATTTTTCTATCATATCTTTACTCTGAAAGACTTATATGGAATTTTAAGTCATGTAACTTGACCAGGAAAAAAATAGAGTGAAAGATTATTAAATAATGTTTACAAAATTATTGTGTGTGTGTAAAGACATTATTTTTTACTTTGTTGTCTAGGATTTGTACTATATTCGTAACAGAAAGTCTAAAAATAGTATCAACAAACTTGGCTTTCTAAACTACACTTTCTGTAGAGACTTCCTGCATTTTTTTTTTTTTTTTTTTTTTTTTTTTTTGGTACCGGGAACAAACTCAGGATCTTGTGCTTGCCAGGCAGGTGCTTATGCTGCTGAGTTATATCCCTGTTTCCCAACTCTTGCAATTTTAATGGAAATTTGTTCTCTTCAGCCACAATTTTAAATCTTCAGCCACATGGAGTGTTCCATGCAACACTCGGCCACTGCCAGCACCCTTGCGACCTGGACCTCTTGCCTGCTCATCCCTGCCACTATGGAGGACATGAACAAGTACAGCATTATAGAAGAGTTCACCAAGGGGTCTAAGGTCAATGCAAGCAAGAACTAGCAGGATGACAGTAAGGTGTTTACTGGAAACTTGAGCTGGAATACAAGCAAGAAATATCTGACTGAATGTTCCTCTTGATTTGGGGAAGTTGTAGACCTCACAATTAAAACAGACCCAGTCACTGTGTAAGACTGGTGTCGCGAAGAAGACCCCAAGGACTCAGCTCTCATGTAAGAACAAAGGGGTTTTATTTTCCGTGCGCACGGGGTCCTCCAAACAAGTGGGAATGGAGAACCCCGTACTCGAGCAGGGCTGTGTCTTTTAAGGCCTAAAACCGCAAAGCAAGCAAGCATTGTTACAGAAGCCAATCATAGCGATTAGAGCTGGGCTGATTGTGAGCTGTCCTTAAGGGATTGGGTTTCTTTGTGGGGCGAGGGGGGTGTCTCCCGAGAAGGGGTGGCACTTCTTAGGAACGGGCGTTTGTCCCATGACTGAGAAAACAGCCTGTTTATCTCAAATGGCCCAGAAACACTGGGTCCTGTGGGGGTGGAGCTGCACATAGTTTTGAAACTCACACCACGAGGCCTCCTGAATAGAAAAGTCTAACAGCAATTAACACCCTTAATTACCTTACTTTAGCACCACAACCATTCTATTTGTAGAGAGCAACAATGGTTAGCATATCAATTAGGTAAGATTTTACAATTCTTTACAGAGGAGAGCATTGATTAACATATCAATCCTTTGCCCAGAGGAAAAGGAAGACACACATTTACAGTAAGGCCAAGTTACAGGTATTGCTATGATATAAATGAAGCTACTTTTGTGAAGAAGGTACAATCTAATACAATCTGATGCAATTAACACAATTTGTGACAGGGCTACCGGGTAGGGAAGACCCGGGTTGTCAGGAGCTATTACCTCAGGCCTTTGTTTTATGGCCTTTAGGAAGTTAAAACTTAACCTAGTTAGATTTGAAGGGAGAAGGGGAGGGGAAGCAGCAGATGGAACGAGCTTTCTTGGTCTCTTCAACTGGAAGACCAAGAGGACTTGGATTTGTGCTTTTCAAAGATGTTGCTAGTACTGATAAAGTTTTGGAACTAAAAGTCCACAAACTAAGTGGCCCAGAAAGGCCAAAGTTTTAAAAGAGAAAGAACCCCCTAAAAACATGTTAGTGGATGGATTGGACCCAGATACTTCTGAACAAATTAAAGAATATTTTGGGGGAACAGGGACAGCCCATCCTGGTGCAGGCATATACACCAAGCTAGGCAGGAACAGAGACAGCAGGTCGTGGTGCAGGCACACTGGCCTATGCAGGAACTGTGGAAAAGTCCAAAGCATCAATGAGAAGCCAGCAGCTGGTAAAGTAGGTGAGCCAGTGTTGTGCTCTGGCCCAGAAGCATGTGGAACAGAAGCAGGAAGGGGATGCCACTTTATATCAAAGGGCTCTGGGAGAGCTCGTGCATTAGAAGACCAGTCTCAGCACCTATCTCTAGAGGCCAAGATCAGCACCATACCCAACACAAATACCAAGTTGCCTGGAGTACATAGCACATTTCTGGGATCTAACGTGGACACTACCATAGAACAGGGGACACCAAAGGACTCTACTACTTTTATTTTCATGTTTGTCTGATTGGTTATTCTTTTTCTGCCTGGTTGGGGGCTTTGGGTTTTTTGGTGATTATTTTTGTTTTCTCTTTTACTTTTTTCATTATTATATTCTTTATTTTTCACTATTTGAGTTTCTTACCTTTCTTCTGGGTTTCATCTACTTATATTCATTCTCTCTTCAATTATATCTTATTGTTTTTCATGTGAGTAAACACTGTTTCTTCTCTTTCAGGTTCACTTCAATACTACATTTCTCCTTCATTCTTTCTCTCCTGTGTCCTCCAGTTTTGCAACTGGGTCAGTCTTTGAGTGATCATCCCTTGCTCTCCAGCCTTGCTCCTATTATATTTGACCACTTTTGACTCTCTAATTTGTCTCCCTTTCCTCTAAATGTCTCCACCCCCCATAGGGTAAAATCACTCCACTGAGGGAGAATTCATTGCATACAAGTTCCTGATATATATTGTGTATGTTGGAATTCATTATATAACTGTAGACTTTGCTCCTGTCATTAAACGTATCAGGTTAATAGTTACCACAGTTTGTGAGCAGCTAGGCTGTACTTGAGACTACTGTTACTGCTAAATATTAAACTAGCCAGGATATCATATATGTTATAATCAGCTTTTCTTTCTTTTTTGGTAGTGAGGATCAAACTCATGACCTTGTGCTTGCCAAGCAGGCATTTGTGCTGCTGAACTAAACCCCTCAAAGATGTTGCTAGTACTGATAAATATCTGTTCCTCAGAAATATCTTCTAAATGTAGCTGATTCTTGATCTTTACATCTATCACAAGAACCTGCCTTCCTGCCATCTTTATTAAGGTTGAAAATTTGCTATTTGGTTTACCATCTAGCAAAATTCAATCCCAGACCCCAGCTCATCCAAGACAAGTCCAGAGCACAATGAAATAGAGCCCTATAACCAGTTTTTGTCCTTATATGATAGCACTATGATTGTATGGGGCCACAGCCCAAAGGACTAGATGGTAAACCAAATAGCAAATTTTCAACCTTAATAAAGATGGCAGGAAGGCAGGTTCTTGTGATAGATGTAAAGATTAAGAATCAGCTACATTTAGAAGATATTTCTGAGGAACAGATATTTCCCAGGGAAACTTGGTATTAGTGATAAAGCTATCTAATATAGGAAATCAACAAATATCAACACAGAAAACTACAACAAAAACAGCAATATAGAAAATACAAATTGACAAGATGCAGGAGCAAAATTCAATCCCAGACCCCAGCTCATCCAAGACAAGTCCAGAGCACAATGAAATAGAGGAAATTGGACTTCCTGCCATGCTTGGCCGTCTCCAGGGATTTGGGCTGGTCTGTGCCCTCAATTCTGGAGACTGGGCAGCCTGGGGTGAGTGTCCCTGCACCATCCCGAGCCTGGGAGTTTGGGATCCTTGCTCCCACTGGCCGGGGAACTTCACAGCTTCCTGCTGCACTGGACCAGCTCAGCAGGTCTTGGGCCTGCCTGCACTGACCTCTCAAATTCCTGCCATGCTCGGCTTACTCTGGGGATCTGGGGCCTGCCTGTGCTCTTAACTCTGAAAACTGGGTGGCCTGAGGTTAGTGTCCCTGCACAATCCCGAGCCCAGGAGTTTGGGATCATTGCTCCTACCAGCTAAGGAACTTCACAGCTTCCTGCCACATTCGACCAGCCCCACAGGACTTGGGCCTACCGGTCACACCCAAAGTGACCCTCTCTCAATCCCACATTGCAATTGAGACCCAATCTCAATCCATAACTGGGTGGCCAGAGTCCCAAGAACTGAGGGCCTAGAAGAGGATTTCCAACAGGCCTAGGGGAAGCCTTGGAATAACACTTGAAACATGGAAATATAGGAAAATGACAAAACGAAAGACCAAAATATAATCTCAAACCTCAAACCCATCCCAAGAAACCTTAGGAGCTATGTACATAGAAGAAAATATATGCCATACACCAGAAATACCTGAAATACTAGCAACTGAAATAAAGAAGGAACTCCAGCAAGCTTTAAAGGAATTCATACTAGAAAAAATCTCCCAGGTAAAAGAAGAAATGAAAGAGATGCTGAATAAATCTAAAGAAGACAGTTAAAAAAACAAAACTAAGGGTTGGGGATTTAGCTCAGCGGCATGAGCACCTGCCTTGCAAGCAGGCGGTCATGAGTTCGATACCTGGTACCGATAAAAATGAAAAAGACAAAAAAAAAAAAAAAAAGAAAAAGAAAAGAAAAACAAAACAAAAAAACTAGGAACTAAACAAAATTAGGAACTAAACAAACAGCTAGAATCCCTGGATGAACAATATAAGAAACAAACAGAATACATAATGCAGAAGCAAACAGATATACAGGGAAATCAAATATTCCATTGAAAGCGACAAAAACCACCTAAATAAAGGGAAGACAGAATTTCAGACCTTGAAGACAAGATTGGAATTAGTGATCAGGGAAAGAAAGATCTTTTAAGAATAACAAGGAATCAGGATATAACAATTCAACAGCTGTAAGATGATGCAAAGAAAAACTACATAAGATTGATAGGGATAAATGAAAAAGAGGGGACAACATAAAGGATGTCAAGAGGATATTTAGAGAAGTAAGAGTTGAAAATTTCCCAAACATGAGAATGGAAATGACATCAGGATCAGTGAAGCATATAGAACTCCAAATAGTCATAACAAAAATAAAACTACACCCAGACATAAAATCATCACCATCCCAGAAATCCAACATAAGAATAGAATATTAAAAGCTGTCAGGGAGAAAAGACAGATCACTTATAAAGAAAACCTATCAGAATCACAGCAGACTTGAAAGCAAGAATGATCCTAAGAGGTAAAGAAGGTCACTACATACTGGTTAGGGGAAAATTTAAAGAGGAAGAGATAACCATCTTAAATATGTATGCACCAAATTCCAGAGCACCCAATTACATAAAGCAAGTATTAATAGAAATGAAAAACCAAATTAGCAAAAACACAATTATAACAGGAGACCTTAACACATCATTGACACCAAGGGACAGATCAATCAGACAGAAAATCAGCAAAGAAATAACAGAACTGAATCACACCTGTGAACAAATGGACTTGGTAGACATATACAGAGTGGTCCATCCAACAACATCAGAATACACATTCTTCTCAGCAGTACATGGGACATTCTCTAAAATAGACCATATACTAGGCCACAGAACATATTTAAATAAATGCAAAAGAGTTGAAATTATCCCATGCATGCTATCAGATCATAGCACCATGAATCTTGAAATTAATGATAAAAGATATTGCAAAAATCCCACAGACACATGGAAACAGAATAATGCACTCTTGAGTAATCAGTGGGTCACAGGGGAAACTAAAGAAGAAATTAATACCTACAAGTAAAAGAAAATTCAAATACAACTTAGCAGAATCTTTGGAGTGCAATGAAAGCTGTCCTCAACAGAAAATTTATTGCAATGAGTTTCCACATCAGGAAAACAGAATGAACACAAATAAATAACCTGATACTATACCTCAAACATCTAGAAAAAGAAGGGCAAGTCAAGCCCAAAACCAAAAGAAAGGAGGAAATTATAAAAATCAGAACAGAAATTAATGCAATAGAGACTAACAAAACAATCCAAAGAATCAATGAATCAAAGAGTTGGTTCTTTGAAAGAATAAATAAAATTGATAAGCCCTTGGCCAACCTTATTTTAAAAAAGGGAAAAAAAGCTCAAATTCATGCAACATGGTGAAATCACTACAAACTTTGTAGAAGTACAGAAGATCATCAACACCTATTTCGAAAACCTCTACTCTCATAGGTTTGATAACACAGAAGAAATAGACATATTCCTAGAAACATATGAAGTACCAAAACTGGGTCACAAGAAATACAAAGAATGCCGACACTCCTCAAACTCTTTAATGAAATTGAAAGGGAAGCAATCCTGCTTAACTCATTTCTGGAAGCAAATACTACTCTAGTACCAAAACCTGAGAAAGATTAAACTAAAAAAGAGAACTACAGACCAATCTCCCTAGATGCAAAAATCCTCAATAAAATATTGGCAAATAGGATGCAGCAAATCATCAAGAAGATTATACACCATGACTACATGGGATTCATCCCAGGTATGCAGGGATGGTTCAACATACATAAATCAATAAGTGTAATCCACCATATCAATAAAGCCAAAACTAAGAATCACATGATTATTTCTATAGATGCAGAAAAAGCTTTTGATAAGGACCAACATTGATTTATGATAAGAGCATTACAGAAAATTGGAATAGTCTTTATCTCAATATGATAAAGGCCATCTATGAAAAAACAAGAGCCAGTATCATATTAAATGACCAAAACCTGAAGGCCTTTACCTTAAAGTCAGGCACAAGACAATGATGTCCCTTATCACTGCTTCTATTTAATATAGTACTGGAAATACTAGCCACAGCAATTAGACAAGAGAGAGAAATAAAAGGGGTAAATATAGGAAAAGAGGAAGTTACATTATCATTATTTGCAGATGACATGATACTCTACATAGAAGACCCCCAAAACTCCATTGAAAGACTCCTAGATATCATAAATAAATTCAGCAATGCAGGTGGACACAAAATCAATACTCAAAAATCAATAGCATTCCTATACACTAACAACAAAATCACTGAGAGCAAAATAAGAGAAGCCACACCTTCACACTAGCAACCAAAAAAAAAAAAAAAAAAAAAAAGAAAAAGAAAAAGAAAAAGAAAGATTTAGGAATTATTCTCACAAAAGATGTGGAAGATCTATATAGGGAAAATTATGATACATGGAAAAAATTGAAGTGGATCTCAGAAAATGGAAAAACATCCCTTGTTCATGGATAGGAAGAATAAATATTCTGAAAATGGCCATTCTCCCAAAACTCTTATACAGATTCAATTCAATCCCAATGAAAATACCATCAACATACCTCATAGATGTAGGCAAATTACTCCTAAAATTCATCTGGAAACAGAAGAGATGAAGAATAGTTCTAAGCAACAAAGGCAAGGCAGGAGGCATCACAATCCCTGACTTGTATACTACAAAGCAACTGTAGTAAAATCAACATGGTACTAGAATCAAAACAGAGCCGAAGATCAATGGAATAGATTAGAAGATACAAGCACAAGTACAAACATACTCAACCACCTTATCTTTGATATAGGGAACAAACATGTTCACTGGAAGAAGGAAAGAAGGACAGTTTCTTTAATAAACTGTGTTGGAAAAACTGGCTCTCCATATGCTGAAAACTAAAACTAGACCCATGCCTATCACCATGAACTAAATTAGCATCTAAATGGGTCAAGTAGGTAGAGAATTCATGAGCAGGATTCAAACCGCACAGGAAGTACTTCCCAGAATCAGTAACTGGGATCACGTCTTATTAAAAAGTTTCTGCATGTCAATAGAAATCTCCAGCATAGTGAAAAGAAAACCCACAAACTATAAAAATTTAGTTTATACTATCACAATTAGTGAACTGTCCCTCAGACAAAGGACTTTTGTCTAAAACATATAAAGAATTTAAAAAAATCAGACCCCCAAAATTCAAAGATCCAATCCAAAAATGCGCTTCTGAGCTGAATACACAATTC